ATGGGTTTGCGCTACGACCAACAAATGTCGTTTTCAGTCGCTAATTCATTTCTTATTGAAATGAGAGTTTATTTTTGTGCAGTATTAATTCTGCATACATGTACTAGTGTGCTTAATATCATACGTTTTAGTCCATTCTGTTCATTGTCGTACATTTGTTAGTATCCTTTGCTGTAATTAACCCACACATCTTCTTACTACACTTAGATAGGGTTTTAGGGGCTTCGAGTAATTATTTATGACGCGCATCATATAAAAAATGTAAACAATAGTCACAACGATTATATGCATCTATCCACAATTACAACTATTTTTTATCCTATTTTTGTGTATGTGCAGTTGCACAATGAGAACAGCAAAACATGAATATATCTATGTAGTTTTTTTTAAAGTTAAGTTTAGTTATTAGTTTTGCATTTTGCAAATTTTGGTACAAAAACAATCAATAATGACAGAAAACACTTTCTTAAAGGATCCTTTTCTAATCAAAGCTTTATATAGGCGTTTTTGTAAAAAATATATCTGTTAAGATTGGATTAAATTATCTCTTATGTTAATAGCATAGTGCAAAATGTAAAAGTATACCCTTATCTCTGTTCACACAAATCTCAGTTGAGAATTGATTTCCAAACCGTTTAACTTTACGTTCCCTTACCCACGGTATCTCACTAATCTTATCAATACTAAGAACTTGTATTTCCCCTTTTTTGCTACCGTTAGCAATGATGTTTTTATAGATGGTTGAGTTACATGCCGACAGACTATGGCCTAAAGATGCTCACAATGCACAAGCCATAATGTTGTTGTTTGATGACGAAAGCATGTCTACCATAAAGAGAATTCAAACATTTGTGAGTTAATTTATAATTTGGAGTTTTTGATACGATTAATCCGTTCCTATGGTTATCATGCCTTGATCAATTCAATATTATAACGCCTTGCTGAGTATTGCAGCTTATTGTAAGGCTAGAGACAACTTAAGAACTAAAGTCACGAATACTTTGCATACACCACATACAGATCTAATCAATTTATAGTGGTACTCAAAAATCAATTTGTACTTCTCACACGTGCCCTTGTTTCTAGTCAGAAGTAAATGCGATTTGAGAACGGTCGGTACATTTGTTTTGTTTTCCATTCGATCGAAACCCAAAAGATTCTCTTTTATACCTTTAAAATTTTCAGTCCTATAGTTCAGTGGATGGAAAAATGTTGAAAAATTCTATGCACGCTATGAAATATCTAGAATGTTCAGCAAAACAGATGGTACGTTGCAGTTTCGAAAGAAAGGATGCGCATTTTTTTGAGCAAATTTTCCGCCAAAACTTTGAGTAGAAAATTTTTTCAGAATGGTGTCAAATATGTCTTCTTCGAGATACTTGGCGCAGTTAAACTTGAAGACCGCAGTAGGGAGCA